GCAGTGCTTACACCAGTCAAGGACTTTCCAGCTTCCCCTGCTCTGCCAGGTGCACAAGGAGCTGGGAGGGGGCACAGCCAGGACAGCTGACCCCACAGAGGCCACAGGGCTATTCCAGACCATATGACATCATGCTCAGCTCATAAAGCTGGGGGAAGAAGAAGGAAGGGGGACATTTGAGTGATGGCGTTTGTCTTCCCAAGTCACCATTGGGCGTGATGGAGCCCTGCTGTCCTGGAGATGGCTGAACCCCTGCCTGCCGATGGGAAGCAGGGAATGAATTCCTTGCTTTGCTTTGCTTGTGTGTGCAGCTTTTGCTTTCCCTATTAAACTGTCTTTATCTCAGCCCACGAGTTTTCTCACTTTTACTCTTCTGGTTCTCTCCTCCACCCCACTGCAGGGGGAGTGTGCGAGCGGCTGGGTGAGGATCAGTTGCCAGCCGGGGTTAAACCACGACACGGATCCATAGCGCACCAGCATAGTTCACCAGCATCCAATGAGTTTTTTGGGTACAAGGCAGGCTTCTCAGACACTCGTCTCCAGTAGGTGCAATGGACTATGACCATTGTTTTTGTGCTTTTGGTTTCTAGGTAAATGCCATCAGCCCTGTCGAAATGGAGGCAAATGTACTGGCAAGAATAAATGCAAGTGCTCCAAAGGCTACCAGGGAGACCTGTGTTCAAAGCGTAAGTACCAAAGCCACTCCATCAGTCCTCGTTGTAGGAGCGTCAAGCTGGCTGTACAGTATCTTTTTGCACAATGTCAGCACTACTTGTTTGTCGTCAAAGCATTTCAGGTTAATTTACTTCCTGGACGTACAACGTACACCAGACTTAAGGGAATTATGAAACCAGAAATGTATTTTTACAAAAGCCTCCCCACAGTTTCTTCTGTATTCTGAGTTTCTGTAAAACAGGGATGTGTCGGCTTAGTAACAGCAGTTCAGGAATAGAGAAACGCTTAAGAAAGCGTCAGTGCATTGCAACATTGAAATCCAACGGGAGGACTTTATGAGGGGGGTGCTGGGGGCTGCCCTCCTCTCCCGCTGGTTCTGGTGCACGCTCAGCTCTGCTGTTCCATCTGCTTCACCCTGCCAGGGACTGAGCCAGACCTTGCAGGGGAGTGGCGGGAGGGGGGGGAATGTTTTGGGGCTTTGCACACACTCAGTGCAAAGTCACAGATTTACCGCAAGGGCCCCAGCCCGTGCCAGGACCAACCCACCATGAGGAACAACAGGAGGGAAAGCAACCGTGCAACCGTGTCTCTGGATGAGATGTCAGGGGGTCAGGCGTGTGCGCTCCCTTTCTTACAGCTGTCTGCGAGCCCGGCTGCGGCCTGTACGGCACCTGTGCTGAGCCCAACAAATGCCAGTGCAAAGAAGGCTGGCACGGGAGACACTGCAATAAAAGTAAGTGAGCAACAAACCCCGAGAGTCCGTGTCGGGGGTCTTATGCATCCGATGCCCTACAAAAATGACTGCTTCAAGAGCCTTTCCAGCCTCACTAATGATACCCCACTCCATTTTTTCTAATCATTAATCCAAGCAATAAAACGTAGATTTTCAACACTCCATGATTTTCCACTACTTGAAAGAACCCCTCAGAATCATTCAAAAACATTTTACCAAGATCGTCCTTGTATTAGAAATTCCAGAATCTGCTATCAGCCAGATTTCTAGAAGACCTCATGTGTCTTCCACCCATGGTATGGAAGGGATCTAAAGTCCTTCAGCACTCCTCAGTAATGTCAGCTGGCTTTAAAATGTTGGGTAGGCATTTTTAGAAATAAAACTCTGTGAGGTTTTAAAGCTGATTAAAACTTAGAAAAAAATTAAATGTCCTTTAGAAACTTTGGGGAAAAACTTGAAGAATTATGCAAGATCTATGCTCACCAACTTTCAAGTTTTCTCCTCTTCCCCACTCATGCTCCACAGACCACAAAAGATGCTGTCCCAAAGCCAAGTTAAAGTCCTTAAAATGAATTTCCGTTGCACTTATTGACCCATTTGACATCCAGCGAGGCAACTGATCATTTCACTGGATTTAAAATAGCACTAGAAAATTAATTGAAATACAATTGGATATATCCAGTAACAACTTCAGATTTAATTTTATTTTTCATGTGCAATAGCGCTGTGACAGCAGATCTTCAGGAGACACGCTGTACATTCTCCTATGAGGTATTAATGTTTAGCTTAAACACTGTTAGCTAATGATTTAATGTTTTAAGTGGCAACTGATAAAAAAGTTGACAAAATTCGCAGCTATAAAAGCCGCCAATTGGCCATAAGGCATGGGAACCTTACATTGCAGCGTCAGCTGAACGTTCATTTTTATTAAATGCTGTTGGTGCCTGTGATTTGTATGGCATTAAAATATATAAGGATAAATACAGTTGTCTGATTAAAAAATGAGTATTTTCTAACTAAAATGGATTATGCTGTGAAAATCGGTTTTGGGGAGTCCACTTTTCTGCTGTCAGCTAGCAGACCTGTGTTTAAATATTTCTGTCATTCCCTGAAGGAGAAATACCATTAATATAAGTTATGGTTAGAAAAAAGGGAAATCAATATGATCTTCATAAGTTCAATATGAACTTTTTCTTCTTGTAATACTCTTCTTATAAAGAACTCAGATAGCAAGTGAAAAAATGTGTGTACTGTGGATGACCATCCCCAAAGAAGTAATTACCTGTACAACAAAACCAAAACTCATAACTACCGTGTTATGAGGAGTCAATACTCAGATATTAGTGTCAGCTCCAAGGTTTTCCATCCTTAATTACTTGGAGTTTGGGTACAGTCCTGCTGTTTTAGCACTGCAAAAATCTCTTTGTATTCAGCAAAGAAACTGAGAATAGGCTGTTTGGGTAAAATTCACCCCCATTTTAAGGGCCCGTGTAGGGTTTAAATTGCACATACAAGTCTGCATGCACTGCAGTTCTCTCTTTTCGACTAAAACCAAACATCTCCTGACCCTGAGAGGAGATTTATAGTTAATTTAAGAGACTTGCTTCATACTCCATTGAATCAATGGCTCCTTGGTTTTCTTAAAAAGAAGCGGTTAAAAAAAATTGAACCTGGGCCTCGGTTTTTCAACGTCATTTCCTTGAGCTTTCGGTAACGAGATGGGTAAATGAAACTATAAATAATTACAGCATAATACTTTGAATTCCGTTTTTATGGTTCGTTTTCATTTTCCACAACCAAGCAGCTCCACTAAGCCTGTTTCATACTCCCTTTCCCCGCCCCCCAGGTGTATATTGTTCCTGCTGTTCTTTCTCTTTGAATTCAGCCATAAACCAAAGCCAAGCTCAGGTAGCTGGCGCAGATTCTCCCCGGGGAGATGCTTGTGCCCCTCTTTAGAGCCCATTGCTGGCAGATGGGCACGACTCCCACCCACCCGGCGTGGGTTGTGCACAGGCGAACCCAGGGCCGAGCGGCAGCCTGGGCGGGCTGGTGGTCCCCCGGGCTCCCCGGCAAGGCGAGAGCATCTTTCCGTCTGGCAGCGCCTCATCCATGCTGGGGGCACGGAGAGGGGCGAGTGCTTGCGTAAGGCAGAGCAAAATCCTCTCTTCAAATGGTGGGGGACTGTTTCCACTTGAAATATTAGCAGTGGATCGCGAGCCCGCTTCTGTGGTTTCTTTTCTCTTGATTTGGATAATTTTCCAGGGTATGGAGCCAGCGGTCTGAGCGCCCTGAGGCCAGCAGGCAGCAAGCACAGGCAGCACACGCCTTTGCCAAAAAAGGCCGAGGAGAGGCATGTTCCACCCGAATCCAATTATATCTGGTGAACTCCAACATCTGAAACGGTTCGTGTTACACAAAGTTCATAGCCTTCATTAACCTCTCATGGATTGAATGTTAAAACGCTGTTCATTACAGTTAAGATTACCGGCTGGAATTTTATTAGCTTCGTTATAAACCACTGAGCTGATATTTACTATTCCTTTTAAGTTTTATAAATATTTCTATAGCATGATTATATAGGCTGCTTCTTTCAGTGCTTTGGATGGTGTTTTGTACTATACTTCAGTTATGTTTAAACTTCCTTTTTTGATTCTATAGCTGCAGATATTTTCCAAAAATTAAGTAACAATATTCAAGCAGAAAACCTCGTAGATGCTAACCTGAATCATTTCAATGACTACAGATTTAATTTGCCTAAGACAAAGGAAAGGTGCATTTTACATTTTTGCTGTTGTGTATTTAGACTTTTCCCTAAGGAAAATAAATAAATAAGTTGCCTAATTTAAAAGCTGAATAATCCAATTCAGTGTTATTTTTGGCCTTACAGTTTTGCAAAGTACTGTGTCTTAAAAATATGCTGCAGTGGTGCCATTTAACCAACGTAATATATTGTAAACAAAGTAGAACTATAATGTATGAACTTTCTGCATTGGCTTGAAGCAATATAATATATTGTAAACAAAACAGCTCTTATGTAATAAACTTTTTATACTGACGTTTATGTATAAAATAAAGATGCTGCTTTAGTTTTTCGAATAACTGCTCTGTGTGGCCTGCTGCGGTCTCACCAGCGCTGGGTTGGGACGATGGCTTTCCTAGTGCACCCTTGTAGAATGGTGGCCCAGTGGGGTTGGTTTCCCTGTCTCTGCTTTTAGCCCCACAGCTCTGAAAAATATTTCAGAAGAGCAACTTCTTCTCGTGCCTTTGCAAAGGAGGGGATAGCACTGAAGGCTGGGTGTTTGTCTCCCTGTATTTACCCTCCACCACGTCCCCCTTTCTCCCCCTGCCCTGCCAGCCGGCCATCCCAAGCCAGGGTGCCCTGTTCGTGGTGCCTCCAGTACCCGGGATCTCCTCAGAGCCTCTCCCCAAGCAGGTGACAGTCCAGAGCTGGCGATGTTTCCTGTTCCAGGGTGATGCTCCTGTGTTGTGTTGTCTTCAGACTGTATAAAGTTTGGGTGCTGCTTCTGGAGACAGTCGAGAGCCACACAGTTTGTGATGTGCTGCGGCTAGGAAGCAAGGAAAAAGGTTTCTGTCTGCGCTGAAGAACAACAGCCGCTTCAACAAATGATTGCTGACCCTTGCTATACTGCAGCTCAGGGAACCATATTATCTGGGATAAATAATAAATAAATAACACAGAATTTGGGGGGTAAAATTAATGAGTGAGAGGTTTTGAATTACAAAGGAAAAAGTCTAGTTTATTAACCTGACCTTGCTGGTGTTACTTAGTCAATGGACCCGCAGATCAAGTAAAAAGACTCGCTTAGGCCAGAGAGAAGGAGGACAGCTCTCTCTTAAGGATCTGTTTTTACGTTGCCCTTCATGCAGTGGGACTGTAGGTGCTGCCCAGCAAGCCTGACCCGACGGGAGACCAACCCCCATCGCCACACATGGCTGCAGCCCCCTGGGTCTGGTGCAGGCAGAAACGCAGCTGGGGAAGGAGGGATAGGGCCAAACCACCTCCCATCACACCCCAGGTGATAATGAGAAACAGCCCAGACAAGGTGGTCTGGCCGCTTGCCTGATACCCTTCCCCAGGATGGCAGTAAAAGAGCTCAGGTTTGCTGAAGAAGGAGCTTTCTCAGCGTGGATGTGCTAACAGGTACGGCAGGCAGGCGCCAAAGTGGTGGTCCCCCAGCCCTCGGTCTCATGCCTCCTGTGGGACCCCCAGCACTTCCCCACCCTCCTATGGGACTGGGGGTGCCTGGGGCACGGAGCCCTCGGGTGGCAATGTGGGACAGGGTCTGACCTGCAGCCAGCTTGCCTCCGTGCACGCTGCATCGCTGTGCCATGGGGGATTTTGAAAAGCAAACCTCAGTCCCCGTAGCAGCCCCCATATTCTTGCCTATGTCTTGGCAACCTGTGGATCTCTCCCCCCGCACCAAGGCTGTCGTTGACTGTGGTGAAATCAGCTTTCCTTTAAAAAGGATAATCTGCTGTATCTACAGGCAAGGTGGCAAAACACCAGCTGCTGGTGTGAGCTGGGCTTTTCCCTTCACCAAGGGCAGCAAAGTGGGCTGTGGGGCAGGAAAGGAGCCCAGCCTCCACCCTGATGTAGTGCTCTCCCAAAAGCGCCCCCTTCAAATTGAAAGAGGATGGAAAACAGGGAGCCTGAGGCACAGGAGAAGCCACTTGGGTGATGAAAACCCAGGGCAGGGAGATGAGGACAAGAACATTTTTCAAGATTTTCCTTAAAAGCGATGAAAAAAGGAGGTTAATATTAGGCTGAGGTTAAATGTGTTAAGTGTGTGCCCTGTATCCCTAGGGATGCCCCAGGAGCTGTTTATAAGCATGGATGTCCCATTTGCTGGCTTTTTGCTCTTTCTGTAACAAGGATTGGCTGGAGCCATTGGTCACACACCATAGTAAAAAGCACAGAAATTTCTTACTTAAAATTCCTCAGATATTTTGGCTGAACTTTTTCTGCTCCTGTCAATTTCTTAGAAAGTACTTCCTTAAAAATAACAAGCATATTCTTTTATATGGAGTAATTTATTTTGCTACTTGTTCCAAAGACACTAAATGCTGCTGCTTGGTTTTCTGAGTTTCACCACTGACTCTAGGAAAGATCATTAATCACGAGTCAGAATACAGTCAGAAAGATTACAAAAGGAAAAAATATTCCTCGAAGTGCACACTTTAACACTACTCTTTTTCTTAAATAACATCAACTTTCTGCAAGCAAATTTTCCATCACTTTGCCTTTAATGCCAACAGGAGCACAAAGTTCCCTGCGTAGAGGCAGTCCCCCATGTCAGAGAAGTTTTAAGTCAAAGTCTGTGAATCTGGCAATGCTAAGACATTAATGCCTCAGAAAAAGTCCAGTAGAAAGTTGGAAGTAATTTTGCCATTAAAAAATAAACTACAAAATTTATCACACCCTCTCACTGGACAGGGCATATGTGTGGGAAATTAGTTCAAACACTGCAGCTTCGTTTCTGCTGGACAGATTTGTTACCTTTCCCTCCCTCTCACTTCTCTCCATCACCTGTTCTACTGAGTTTGCCCACTATGGAAGAAATTCCTACTCACAGTATTAAGGAGAGACCTGGCGGTAGCAGAGCGGGAGCTGCCTGAAACGGCCCGGGTTGCTCAGGTGCCTGCCCTGCCCAGGGCACTGCATCGGGTGCTGTCGAGGCGTCGCTCAGAGCCCCAGCTTCACAGCAGCTCCAGGTCTTGCAGTCATTTCAGCTCAAGTCTAGAGAAACTGCACTAGCCAAAAGTGCTCTCATCTGTAACAGGGATTAAATGCTACTAAATCCCACAGGTGGGAATACGACTTCACATTTGGTGAGGTGACAGGGTGCTGTGATTAGCTGGCCATACCCAAACTTTAAGACTGTGATTAGACCAGCAACACCCTCTCCAGCTCTAAACTGTGCCAGCAAGATTTGCTCATGTGATGCTTTAAACAAAAAAGCAACAAGTTAAAAAAAAATTCTCAAGTGAAATGAGTCCCAGTTGTTATTTTTTACTTTTGCTTGCAGCTGTCTGCCGGGGTGGCTGCTGGGCTACAGGCCAGTAATTTGTGCATGGCTCCCAGCACCCAGCTCCTGCTGGAGCACGGCTAAAATTGCATGCTCCTCGGCGCCTATCTGGAGACAGCTGCCCAGCCCGGCCATGCAAGTTCACTGACACTCAAAAATGATGCAAAGCTGAACTGGGCACAGAACAACCGGGTTAGGAGAACAGCAGGGTTTGGAAAATGCATGCATGCAGATCTGAGCAGAGTTATTGCTTACCTCTGTGGCTTTCTAAGATTTGCAGCATTCAGACGATGCTAATTTAAATGAACCATCACAATTTAAAGTTAGCTAGAAAAAAAACTACACTCTGTATTTTTGGCTTAGAACAACATATTCTATTATTTATACTAATTACAGAAATTGTGTTTTAGTCCCTTTCCACATAGCCCATCAGAGGACAGGAACGGCCTTGTTGCACAAATCTTTCCATGGAAATGTGAATTCAGAGGGTTTAGTACACAAACCCTGTCTGGGCAAGCCACAGCTCATAAGCAGCTCAGTTGTTTATGAGGGACTTTGTCACAAGTCCTTTCTAACACTTTCTTTCTTCGTGTATCCTTTGAGGATCTTATGGCCGGGGAAGGAGGAGGGGCCAGCCTGTGCTTTAAGCACATACTTTGCAGAAGGGACCTCTCTCCTCCAACCTGGTCTACAGGGATAAGCTCAAATGTCAGGCACACTTGGTGACCAGCTGCTTCTGGGCACATGTGCCCCAAAATGACAGTGAAACTTAGCACTGGCTTCAGTATGTGGCCTTGCTGGTGCTACCTGGGGACAGCCTGGGCAGAGGAGGAGGCGAGGCTGCCCACAACCGGTGGTGAATGGGGCCCTGCAGAACCCAGAAAGAGAAACCGTAGAGAAACACCTCTTTAAAGCCTTGCTTCTCTTCAGAACCATTTAAATATTTGTCAGGGAGTCTAAATCGAAAGCCTAAATGTCCCAGGAGAAGGAAAAAGGTGTGTGCTCAAGACCAGCAGTGCTTCCAAAATATGTTTTGGCTATTTGCAGTCCAAGCAGACTTTTATTGGGTAAACGAGGTGTCAGCTCAGAGTTGCAGTGACAACATTCACACTGTATGTTGCCTCAACATGCCCCACCGTGCCTGAAAAGCAGAGCACGAAACCAGTGTGTCATGCGAAGAGCAGCTCCAGTGGGTGTGCTGCCCCATAAACCCACTCAGCACGGCGATGGGTTCTCAGATACCTTCCTGCTGCGTCCCTGCTTATGCAGCTCCCACGTGTAATGGATGCGACGGGCAAGTAGCACACCGACCACTTGTGCTGAAGAGTTAAGTGGTT